GAAACAACCTTCCTCAAGACCCAGTAATACCACTTTTTAGTATATATCCAAAGGATCCTCAATCATGCCACAAGGGCATGAGGACATGTGTTCAACTATGTTCATAGCAGCTTTGTTTGTCATAACCAGAACCTGGAAACAACCTAAATGCCCCTCGACCAAAGAATGGATAAGGAAAATGTGGTACATTTACACAATGGAGTACTACACAGCAGAAAAAATAACGACATCTTGAATTTTGCAGGAAAATGGGTGGAGCTAGAAAAATCATTTTGAGTGAGGTAACGCAGACACACAAAGACAATTATCACATGTACTCACTCATAGGTGGGTTTTAAACATAAGCAAAGAAAGCCAGCCTACAAACGACAATCCCAGAGAAATTAGACAACAATGAGGACACTGAGAGAGACTTACATAGATCTAATCAACATGTGAAGTAGAAAAAGACAAGATCTCCTGAGTAAATTGGGAGCATGGGGACTTTGGGGGAGGACTGAAATGGGGATGGGAGACACGTGGAGTAGAGGAGAGAAAAATGTAGAACTCAATTTTAAAAAAAGAAACTACATGTCAAAAAAAACAAATAACCCAATCAAAATATGGTATATAGATCTAAATATATATTGAGAGTATTCTCAATAGAGGAAACCCAAATGTCTGAGAAATACTTTAAAAAATGTACAACATCCTTAGTCATCACGGAACTGCTAATCAAAATTACTTTGAGATTCCATCTTATAACACTGAGAATGACTAAGAACAACACAGGTGACAGCTCATGTAGCTGAGGATATGGAGTAAGGGAAACTCTCACACACTGCTGGTGGGAGTGCCAACTTGTACATCTACTATGGAAATCTGTGTGGTGCTTCCTCAGCCAGATGGGAATCGATCTATCCCCAAATACAGGTACCCCACTCTTGGGCACATACCAAAATGAAATTTCATCCTACTGCAGAGACACTTGCTCAACCGTGTCCATTGCTACTCTATTCATAATAACCAGAAATTGGAAACAACCCAACCTAGATGGCCGTCACAGAAGAATGGATAAAGAAAATGTGGAACATTTATACCATGGAGCATTAGTTAACCATTTTGAAAAATAACATCATTAAATTTGCAGATAAATGGATGGAACCAGAAAAAAATCATCCTGAGTGAGGGATCACAGATCTAGAAAGACAAATATGGTATATATTCCCTTTTATGTGGATATTAGCCTTTAAGTCAATGATAAACAAGCTACAATCTATAGAACAAGAGAGGTTAGTTACATTTTAAGTGAGTTGGGGTACAGACAGATGTCATTAGGAAAGGAAAATAGAGTAGACAGCTATGCATGGGTAGGGTCGATCTGGAAACAGAGGATCAAGTGGGGATGTGTAGGGGAGAAGGGGACAGTGAAAAGAATACGGAGAGAAACCTCTAAAATTCAGGGCCATTGGAGAGGTAGTATGGAAACCTAAAACAGTAGGAACTTCCTAATTAGTATGTACATATATGATGTGGGAGTGTCATATATCAATCTGTTGATTTCATTAGTTAAGCAATAAAGAAACTGCTTGGCCCTCATAGGTTAAAACATAGGTGGGAGGAGTAAACAGAACAGAATGCTGGGAGGAAGAGGAAGTGAGCTCAGACTCGACAGCTCTGCTCTCTGGAGCAGAGACGCCCCCCTCGCCCGGCCAGATACACGCAATGAAACTCCAGCCCAGGATGGACATAGGCTAGAATCTTCCCGGTAAGACCGGTGCTACAAAGACATTAATACCATTCAATCATCACTTATTATCAAGTACTTTGAGCAGTTACGTATATCTTTGTTCATCAGTGTTTATCGCCAAAAGACTTTCTCTGATTGAGTCTTGGAGTAGCTTTTCTCTATGGATATACAAATAGACACTTAGAAGGGAGCTTGGCACCATGACAGTTTACATGTCATGTTTACATGTTGTAAGTTCTCCCCTAGGGCCAAAGACCTTTTCAGCCATGTTTTTTTTTCCACATTGAAAGTAGCAGGTATGAATTCCCTCTTGCAGAATGGGCCTCAGATCCAATCAGAGATACATTGATTACCCCTATGCCACTAGTTGTGCAGGTGGTCACATTTTGGCTGGCAGGTTGGTATTGTAGATCGTGGGTTTCATGTCTGGGTAAGAACGTAAATTCCGTTACTCTGCCAGCATCCTGCATAGCAATTCCACTCCTGTGTGACTTAACTGACAGGAAGGAAGTTCCATTCCAGCCTGACTTCTTGACAATTTGTGACCAAGTGTGTTTTGTCTTTAAAAGCAGAACTAGTTATGGTGGGCAAAGAAAAAGAGTGGCATTAACCTGGATTGTTTTGGAGACTTTTGGGAACTTCCTGACCAACAATTTATGTGGAAGTATCTCATATCTGACACTGAATATTTTGATGTGTTTTGCTTGGCTTTCAGAAGCAGCATTATGTAGACATATAGGATGTCTGCCTTCTAAATCTCTCTTTTGTAACTTACATGTTCTGAATGAGATTATAAAGCAATAAGTTTACATACAACTTTTTAAAATGTATCCTTAGCTTTAGTTAACACTTTAATTAACCTAATGTCACCCATTTTTCTACCCATCTCTGATCAAACTTTCCTCATGGATGGATAATTTTTATATTTGTGACTGTATAAAGAGTCAATAAGAGTGTCAATATTTTCACAACTTAAGCCTTTTCTGGGAACATATTAGAGAAGAAAGACCCAACACAAAAATCAATAAATGAAGAATAAAAGAGGTGACCCTTGGATGGGGTAAAAGGCCTATGGTGCCTCTATAAGCCAAACCTGATATTAACACTGTTGGGAGCACAGTCCCTAATGACGTTTAGTGTGGTGGGATCTTCAGTATCCTCGCGAATTATTCCTGTAAACTAACAGTAGAAATAAAAAGGCCATTCTGATCTATGAAAACTACATAGATATGACCAAAATCAGAGTTATAAGAAGAGATGACAAAGAGCAAGCAGGATAGTTAACAAAACATCTTATTACCTCTGAAACCCATCATATGGATAGAGAATTAACAAGTTTAGGTGGAGAGCTTATAAACAAATCTAGGAAAGGTGGCATATCCTAGATCAAAGCAAATGTCTTCAAAGCAGTTTTGAAAATGCATGCAGACTAAAAGAATTAAGTTCTTTATGCTTTTTAAAATTATCAACCCTTTATTCTTCTCAGCTTCTAGGAAGCAGGGTATAAAACTATCCTTGCACTTGTACAAGAAAATGTCAATAAAATACACTGTATTTCTTACAAGTAACAGACAGCATATATTTTGAGTATATTATCAAAAAAATGTTAAGATGATCAATATGTTAAATTGACTTTATTTAACTATTCCATCTTGTATCCACATTTTAATCCATCTATGCAAACAATTTTGAGTTGTCAATTGTAAGCAATACCAAAACAAGTAAAAGAATAGTTTGATATTTGAAAATGGGGTGAAATGTGAGTTAGTGATTCCACAAATAACATCTGACAAACACTGCATTCATTGCTCATTTTGTGATAGTTAGTAAATAGACAAAAACTATTGTGTAAAAATAACTTGGGCATTTAATTGTCATTGCACATGCCTATCACTATGAGATTGGTGGGCTTTGAAAAGTCATGACAGACACTACACTAGATAAGAAAGCCCAACTCACACAATCTGCAAGTAAAAAGGATGAAAAATGTGACAGAGTCTATCCTGTATGGGTGTGGGCCTGACATGGCCCATACAGCCAACTTTCAAAGACAGTCTCTGGTAAATTTTATTGTATTAATGTCTGCATTTACTCTATGTGACCATGAACATAGATAAACCTTTTTCTGTTTGAAAAAATAAACTGGCTTACAGTAAATACACTCTTTTATAAAATGCCCTGTGATTTTAAAATATGAGAATCCACTAAATGGTAAAGTGTTAATATTTAGTTATAGAAAATAAGTTCAATTTTACTACTAAAATTGAGCAAGAAAACATGACAGATATTTGTCTTATTTCAGTTGAGGGGAAATTCTTCTCTGAAACATAAAAACAAATAATTAAAAATTTGCTTGGTTTTGAAGGAATTGAAGTTTATTTAAAAGACTACCATAGTCACTTAATAGGCAAAGGCAAATCTGTCAAAGAAAAACATAAAAAAATGCATACATATACACATTAATAAAATAACTGGATGTATAAGGAACCTTAAGTCAACAAAATATTTTTATATCGATATAGACAAGGCAAACATACACAGAAATTTTGGGCATATGTATATATATATATACTATTACATACATGAAAGCAATACTCTTCTTTTAGAATAATCAAAACTGACTAATAAAATAAGCAATAAGAATGGCTACCATTTGAATTGCTAAGAGCTGTTGGTAAATATTACATCAATACTACTGACAGGAAGTGATCTATCGCACCCCAGGGGTGGAAGTTGGAATATGTACAATCTTTAACACTCATCATGATAGCTTTGACATGGTCATTATCTTTATGGAAAAGAAGATTCGACTTAAAACACTGAGGCAGGTGGTTTTGACTATTTGAGTGAGGTCATCGTCAACACCATAGTGTGACCCCTTTAGAAACTATGGAGGAAAAGGAGGGGGCAGAGGAAAGGAGGAGAATGGGGAAAGGAAAAGAAGAAAGGAAAGAAAGAAGGAAATTAGGTAGAAGGGAAGGGAGAGGAGGAGGGAAGGAGAGAGGAAGGAGAAGGAGGAAAGTTGAAGTAGGGAGAAGCTAGATCACACTTCATAGTTTTAAAGGGGTCTGTTGCCAGGGGGCGGGGCCTCTGCTCCAGAAGGGTAGTAGTGGACAATGACGAATGAGTGCCCGTCTGCTCTGTGACGTTTGAGCCTGAGCTAGAGAAATTCAGCTAGCCTAGGCAGTACTGGCTGACACAGACCTGTCAGCAATGCCATGGCAGAGAAGCTTCTGCGAGTCTCTTTGAGAGGTGCTGGGTGACTTCATCAATGGGACTTCTAAACAGCCACAGCAGTTTGAGAAGCAGTGATTCCAGCTTGGCAGAGTCAGGTCAGCCAGAAGACAACGCAGTTCCAGGTCCCAGTTACATCTCTGGCAGTCGCAAGCGCAAATGGGGTATTTGGGACTGTGTGGCACCAACCCCTAACATCCACGAATCTCGGAACCAGGCAATCAACCTACAGCAACTTTTTGGCATCGTCTACAGGAAAAAACTGAAGCTATCATCTAAGTATGCATACGAAAATTTATTTTTGGACGGGAAGGATACCGACATTCGAATCCGTGCACTTGAAGTAGAATGGCCTCTACACAAAGCGTTTTTATGTCAGTCACCCTTCTTTGCAAAGATGCTAAAAGATACTTGGAAAGAACCCCACAGTGGTGTAGTTGACCTGCAGATTAAGAATGGGGATATAGATGTCGGCTCCTTGCACTTTATGTTTGGGTCATTTTACAGGGACGAGGACTTGCCAATACCACCCCGTCGAGCTCCTCACATTTTGGCAGCAGCATGCCTGCTTCAGGTGGAGCATGTCATCCGGCAATGTAAAGAGATCATGAACAGCAGCATCACTAGGGAAACCGTGTGCTCATACTACACAGCAGCAGAAACATACGGACTGAAATCTATAAAGACACGCTGCTTTGACTGGCTTCTCTGCCACTTGATGACTCACCCAAGTGTTGAACTTTACAGAGGAATTGATACAAAGCTCATGTATCTTCTTATTTCTTCACCTGATTTACTAGTTATGCGAAAGGAAATGGACATCTACACCACCCTGAAAGAGTGGATATTCCTTTATTTTAATCCATCCTGGAAAGGCACAGTGAGGCAGATGTTAACTAAGTCTGACTTCTGGCTTTACAAGCACATGAAACGCATTGATAACATCAGTTTTCTTGAAAGTGAAGAAGGACTAATATTTCAGCCAATTTTTAAAAAACTGAGGTTTCAACATATCATCTGTGATCTGAATGACACAGCTACTCTTGAACAAGATCGTCTAATACCTTTAGAATGGCTGACACCCATTTATAAACAGCAATGGCTGGCTTTGCTTCAAGAACAAGAACAGAGGGAAATAGGGCCACGAATCATCAGTGAAGAATTCGAAGACTGCAGCATGAGATGTGGTACAATGATTAGGAGAGATGGTAAATACTCCTGGAAGTGGTCAGATTTTAGGTTTAGTTTCCCTATAAGAGTCACCTTTACCAACCGTTACATCATTTTTAGGGAAAGTCGTCAGCAGTATGATGGATATTGTTTAAAACATGTACGAAACGTAGTGTTCAAAATAACTTTGGTGTGTTTTGATTCCAACGGGAAAGTAATATTCAGTAAAACAACTGGTCACAAAATTGTTACCTTCGAACATAACGAGGAACAAATTGTAATGAAGTTAGATGGTATAGTTTTAAGCTTCCCCTTATATATATTCTTCAATTTTCTGTTTTTATCATCAGAAAATATAGAACATGTGTGATCTTGTCAATTATTAGACCATAGAAGCAGCTTACAAACATTGATTGATTCATTAACTTGAAGGCTGTGCTGTAAATGTAGTTAAGATGACCGACAACAAAATGAAAATTCTTAGGAGTCTAGCACCACCACAGAGGACTCAATTCCATCTGCACTTTATTTTAATACATTTCTGAAGAAAAATTCCACATTCAACAATGAATTTGTCAAAGAAAATCAGAAGAAACTGGTCTTTTGATTTTTATTTACCATTGACGATCAAGCTTCGAATGGCAATAAGAGACGTATTTGCAAGGAAAATCAGCAAAATGAACTTGTTGAGTAGATTTGACGACAGCCAAGGTTGAGACAGAATAAAAAAATTTCTTTATTGCTCAAACTGTTGTGAATTGTAGCTTATTTATATGTGTATAAGATATAAGTCATTGGTTAAGAAAATAATTGAGATTAGTCACTATTGATTATGCTTTCAAATAACCAAATAGTGTCAGGGTTTTCCAGATAGTGTAACATATAACATGTTGGTATTTTAAAATTGGTTTTCAGATCATTTTACATGATTTGGATAACTTTTGCTGCTGATTATCTTTAACTATTTATGCACAAAATGGATATTTATCTTATAATCGAACATGCCATCTGCTATGTAAACAAGTATATTATATATTCAGTGTGTTTACATAGAAGTATCTATGTTTACATACATATGTGTATATATTTATGTCACTGTACGTAGCAAAGAATGCAAGTTTTGAAAGGGATAAACAAGCCAGGAAATGGAACATGGATCTTCATGATTCCAGTCTTCTGGCTATCAAGAAAGAGTTATTTCACTTTCCCTGCCTTAGTTTCTTTCCCGATTACTGTGATAGAACTCCCTTAGGAGAACAACTTAAGGGAGAGGGTTTATTTTATCTCAAGCTTCAACGGGATGCTCCATCACCGCAGGACTTTGCCGCAGCTCGTCACATAACATCCTCAATAATAAAAAGAGATGAGTGCAGTGCAAGTCCTCAGCTTTCTCCATTGCCAAGCTGATAGCTCTAGCAGTCACAACTCTGACCCTTGTCCACATGAAGCCCAATCACACCACTGTTCAGCCACAACCTTCAATCCCTTCCTCCTCATAGGCTCACCACCATGTCGTGGTATAAAATGCATTCATGTACTCACTCATAGGTGGTTTTTAAACATAAAGCAAAGAAAACCAGCCTACAAACCACAATCCCAGAGAACCTAGACAACAATGAGGACACTAAGAAGACTTACATAGATCTAATCTACATGGGAAATAGAAAAAGACAAGATCTCCTGAGTAAATTGGGAGCTTGGGGACCTTGATGGAGGATTGAAGGGGGAAGTGGAGAGGCAGGGAGGGGAGCAGAAAAAATGTAAAGCTCAATAAAAAAGAAGAGAAAAGAGAAATGCATTTAGTCCAACTTTAAAGGTCCCCATAAATATTTCCAACAATTCTTTGTTTGAATTATCTTTATTAGTTTTCTTTCATACATAAACATATTTTGTTTCTGTACTCACTGACTCCCAGCAACTATTGGGTCTATCTTCCCACTTCCCCGCCCTGCTTCATTTGTTCTTATATAATCTACTGATTCCAACTTGCTGTCCATATGCACATGGCTGTAGGTCTGAGATCAACTTGTTGTCCATATTCCCATGGCTGTAAGGCTGTTCACTGTATATGGATAATTTACCAGGGATCCTATCTCTGAAGAAAACTGACTTTCCCCTGGCAGTTCTCAACTGTTTGGAGCTTATAAATCAACTGTAGTGAGCTTCTCCACCAACTATGCTGGAATAGTGATGAGATAGGTCATATGCAAGACTTGTGCATTGTGTATGCAATTATGGCTGTGGAAAATTGAGTGTCATTTCCTGTCATGTGTAAAGAAATTGCTTTGTGACCGTTTTTGAGTTACTCTTGTATCCTGCTACATTACTGAGGTGTTTATGAGTTTTAAAATTCCTTGTTAGAATTTTTGCGGTCACTTATGTAAATTATTATATCATCAGCAAATAGTGAGTGTTTGACTTCTTCTTTTCCAATTTGTATCCCCTTGGTCTCCTTTCGTCATCTTATTGCTCTACCTAGAACCTGAAGTACTATACTGAATAGATATGGAGAGAGAGAGGACAGCCTTGTCTTCTTGCTGATTACAGTGGGATCACTTTGTTTCTCTCCATTTAGTTTGATGTTGGCTGTTGCCTTGCTGTATATTGCCCTTATTATGTTTAGGTATGTTCCTTGTATCCCTGCTCTCTCCAAGACCTTTATCATGAAGTGATGGAGGAAAATCATTGGCTAATAAAGGAACTGCCCTGGCCCATTTTATTGGTTAGAGGATAGGAGGGAGGAGTAAACAGAACAGAACGCTGGGAGGAAGAGGAAGTGAGCTCAGAGACTCCACAGCTCTCTCGGGAGCAGACGCCTCAGAGAGAGATGCCATGCCCCGCTCCCGGGATGAAGCTCCGACCCAGGATGGACTAGGCTAGAATCTCCCCGGTAAGCGCACCTTGGGGTGCTACACACAGATTATTAGAAATGGGCTAAATTAATATGTGAGAATTAGCCTAGAAGAGAATGGGCCAAGCAGTGTTTAAATGAATATAGTTTGTGTGTTGTTATTTCGGGACATAAGCTAGCTGAGCGGGCGGCTGGGGTGCTGGGGAAGCGGCCCCGCCACCCTTATTACTTCAATGAAGGGATGTTGTATTTTGTAAAAGGCTTTTTTAGCATCTACTGAGATGAGCATGTGGTCTTTCATGTCTCATTTTGTTTACATAGTAGATTACATTGACAGGTTTTTGTATGTTCAACCATCCCTGCATCTCAGGGATGAAGCCAACTTGATCATGGTGTGTTCTTGGATTTGATTTGTTAGTATTTTATTGAGTATTTCTGCAACAATATTCATGAGTGAGATTGGTCTGTAATTCTCTTTCTTAGTAATGTCTTTATATCGCTTGGGTATCAGGTCATAAAAAGAGTTTGGCAATGTTTTTTATTTTTCTGTTTCTATTGTGTGAAACAATTTGAGGAGTATTGGTATTAGTTCTTCCTTAAAAAATTTGTATAATTCTGTGCTGAAGCCATCTGGTCCTGGGCTTTCTTTTTTCTTTTTCTTTCTCTTCTTCTTCTCCTTCTTCTTCTCCTCCTCCTCCTTCTTCATTTAGAGGGGAGACTTTTGATAACTGTTTCTTTTAATTTACCAGTTATAGGTCTATTTAATTTTATTTGCTTATCTGGTCTTGATGTACTTTTGGTAAGTGATATTTATCTAGAAAATTGTCCATTTACATTAAGCTTTCCAATTTTGTGGAGCACAGGTTTCTGAAGTTTGACCTGATGATTCTCTGGATTTCCTCCATGTCTGTTGTTATGTCCCCTTTTCATTTCTGAGTTTGCTTATTTGGATATTCTCTCTGTGTGTTTTGGATAAAGGTTTCTCTACAATTTTATTGATTTCAGCTCTCAATTTGATTATTTCCTGATATCTAGTCCTCCTGGGTGAGTTTGCTTCCTTTTGTTCTAGAGTTTTCAGGTGTTCTGTTAACTTACTAGTGTAGGATTTTTCCAGCTTCTTTATGTAGGCATTTAGTGCTATGAATTTTCCCCTTAACTCCACTTTCATTGTGTTCCATAGGTTTGGGTATGTTGTGTGATCATTTTCATCAAATTTTAGGAAGTCTTCAGTTTCTTCCTTTATTTCTTCCTTGACCCATTGGTGATATAGGTGAGCATTGTTTAGTTTCCATGTGTTTTGTGGACTTTCTGGAATTAGTGTTGCTGCTGAATTCTAATTTTAAGCCATGGGGATTTGATAAGATACATGGAGTTATTTTATTTTTTTGTATCTGTTGAGGTTTGCTTTGTTACCTAGTATGTGGACAATTTTTGGGAAGGTTCCATGAGGTGCTGAGAATAAGGTATATTCTATTATATTTGGATTCTTACTGGGGAGAGTTAAAGTCATGATGTAGTTTCAATAGGCATTTCCTGTATGACTAAAGATGTTGGACCTTATTTATTTTCTGGCCACTTACACTCCATATTTTGAGAACCATTTGTTCATTTCAGTAGTCCATTTTGAGTAGGCTGTCTGAATGCTTCATTTAAAAGTAATTGTATATATGTTTCATATATAAAATACAAATTATATAGATACTAATCATCTACCAACAATTTTCTTCCATTGTACAGACATGCTGTAGTTCAGTTCTACAATTTCTTTATTGTTGTACACCATGCTTGAAACTCCATATGATACACTTTGACAAGTTTAGTATTATTTCCTTAGCTCTTGGACTCCCTTTCAGAAAGTCCTTGTCTGAGACTGTACTTATTTGTTTTCCCCAGTTTCATATATTTTTTAATTTCATGTCATTTTAGTATTATCTCTAGTATGTCTCTCAATTAAAATGTAATTATATAATTTTCCCTTTACTTTTCTTACTCCCATCCCTTCCCTGTACCCTGCCTCGTCTTCTCTCTATTCAATGACCCCCACTTTTTTCATCATACTTATTACATATATTGACACATAAATATATTAAACAACCTGCTGAATTCATATTAATGTTACTACATGGGTACAACTTCAGAGTTGAACACTCGGTATTTAATAACCAATTAGGGGTCTCACCACTGAGGAAGATTATTTCTCCTGCTCTCAGCTGTGCAGAGTTCTCTGTAGTTCTTTACCTAGGAGTGAGGATCCCTGAGATTTCTTCCTTTCATGTTAGTATGTCTATGGGTGGCCTACTTGCTCAGGTTGTGTTTAGGCACTCCTAATGGTAAGGTTTCACAGTTGAAGTATTTCTGTACTTTTTAGGATGCAGAATATCACAGCAGACCTCCTGGTACTTTGGCTTTTCCAATCTTTCTACTCCTTGTCCATGATGTTCCTGAGCCTTAGGTACAAGCGCTGTATTATAGATGTGTCCATTGGTTTTGGGAACCCCAGTATCAGTTGTTCTTTGTAT